CTGCAGGGCAGCGAGGCGGTCCCTCGGCCCGGTGGGGTTGGGCAGGATGCTAAGTAATGCCAGCCAAAATCCCAACGCTCCTGGGACGTGTTTTGTACTGCAGAGAGCCTGTAAATATGTTTTTGTTTGAAGTCATTTCCCTTGGGCGTTTGGTGACTTCTTTCCTGCTGTAGATGCAGAGGATGCACACGTCAAGGAAAAGATGTTGCAGTAGGGCAATACATATAACAAAGGCAATGGATAGTAATTTTTAAATATTTGGATTTAATGTGCTTTCTGGGTATTATAAAGGTACATGCTTAAATTTATTCTGTTTTTCAACAATAACAAGAACAGCTTGCTATTATTGGACACTGGCCAGTGTAGGTCTGAAGTAAATGAATACATTCTTTCACATTAGAATTTGCTACTTATTCAGCAAGTAACTTCTTATTTAAAATACAAATTTCTAAACATAGAAGCTGGAAGAGTTCCTACGGACCTCTTATTTGTTTCTTTGTTAGTGCAAGATTGCATACTTCTATTTTATACTGTTTCCTTAAATGTTTGTAGTCTCACTGGTTACAATCACTAATTCCTCTTCCGTTATTTCTGACTACCTCCTTATTCACTATATTGGTTTGTCTTGCTTGAGGTTTTTAAGAGTATTACTGTGCTGCCTGAGTGATTCAGACACCTATGGATAGACATCTGTTTCTATATAGTAGTTTATGCAAATAGCAGTTAAGATAAATTTAGGGTTATTGATGTGTACTTTCAAATTTTAAACAGGGGTTTGCTTTAGAAATTTTCTTTTTGGAATTTAGTGCAGGAGGATTACAGCTTGCAGTCCTCTAATAGTTCCTGTGGAGCAGCAAAATAGCAAGTGGTGAAAGGACTGAAGTTCATTATTTCCAGAAGTCTGTGTACCTTTCCTTTTCAAAAGTTGCTGTACAGCTTTCATCTTTTTTTTCTTTTTCTTTTTTCTTTTTTTCTTTTTTCTTTTTTTTTTCTTTTTCTTTTTCTTTTTTTAATCTGAACTTTGTTCATAGAAGTTGATATTTTAAATTTGTCAGGATTTCTGGATCCATAGCAGTCCTCACAGACTTACCATAAATGTTTTTGCTAGGCTTCCATGTTTCTGGCTATTTCTAGAGCCTTGGCAAATCATCAGTGTGCTGTGTTTGCACCAAATGCAAAATTTGTGAGATCTATTAGACGTACGAAATGTGCTGCAAAATCCTTGTGTGTGTGCATCATGTATTTACTCTTGGAAAGCACTTGGGTGAACATAGTCAGGAGCCAATGAGCTACACAGTTTGTGCATAAGAAATCTGACATCTCTGATTTGTCGGATTTATTGCATGTACTAAGACTATTTGTGTGGCAGATTTGTAACAGAATTAGTGCTTTTTGGAAGCACACATTCATTATCAGTTTGAAAAATTCTGAACTGACACGGTAGCTGCAGCTTGGGTTTTTAGCCACTCCAAGTATAGCGTGCTAAATCTTGCTTGCAGAAGGTTGGTTGGATGGTTTGTGTTATCTTGCCTTTTGTGTAGCACAGCACGGATTTTACTTAACAGTATTGGCTTTAGAGAGCATTATAATTTATGGATGTGACAATGATAGCCTAAAACCCAAGCACCTGTGGCTTAATAAGAACCAGAGATAAATTAGTGCCACAAGAGTATGGAAACACAAAGGAGAATATGTTTTTGTAGGGTGAAATCTGTTCTGCCACAAATTTGCTCTCCTGACTCTTTGTGTAAAATTAGCCTTAAACACATGTTGCAAAGGTTGGATACAGATGTCTGCAATGGTTGATGAAGAATGATTGAGATCATGCTGAGGGAGACTTTAAATCTCCGTTCGAAGTCTAGGAATCGGCAGCAGGTGCTATGGGAAGTAATGCTTTGAGTTTTCTTTGAACCTTCATTCTTACTCAGAGAGAAAAGGAGTAACGTCCATTCTGAGATCCAGGAGGCTTGCTTTCTCATTTTGTAGTTTTTAAAGAACTATGACATTAGGAAGAATTCAAAACCTGCGTTTTTATTAAATGACACTTATTCAACTCTTGGAAAATTCCTGTTGTGTCTGATTATTTTTTTTATTTATTTATGTCTTTTGACAAAGCAATTCAAAACCAATCAGAATTTGTTAAACAGATTTAATGGAGTTAAAA